GGGGGGGGGCAGCAGGGAGCTTTTAAAAATAGAAAGTCCCGGGCTCTGCCCCACAAGGACCAACTCCAAGACCCTTTCTGCATCATAGAAAGAGTAGTTTATGAGCCAGGATGCTCGATTCAGGCAAGAAACTGACTCTCATTAATTCGAGCAAAATGTAGCTTCCTGGGAGGCCACGGGGACCCCACAGAATCACTGGGGAGTTTGGAAAGGGGCAGAGGGTGGGCAGCTTTGGCAGCCGGCCCCCGGTAGAGGAGGAAGGCTCTGCGCCGGGACTCCCCAGGCCGCCTTTGATCTCCAGGGCCGAGGGTCAGCCTCGTGCCTTCGCTGTCCCACCGAGAATGCACACAGCGAAGGGAGGTGCCCCCCAGGGAACGTGGGGCGCTCCCAGGAAATGGTGTTGGGCCGACGCAACCAGCAACCCAGGCCGGGAGTCAGCAGTAAAGCTCCAACCTCGAGTGTGCCGCGAGCCAGCCCCGTGACCCTGACAACATCCCTTAGGCTTTTGGGGGCCCGGACACCAGTGGCTCCGAGAGACCAGGGTCCCCAAAGNAGAAAGTCCCGGGCTCTGCCCCACAAGGACCAACTCCAAGACCCTTTCTGCATCATAGAAAGAGTAGTTTATGAGCCAGGATGCTCGATTCAGGCAAGAAACTGACTCTCATTAATTCGAGCAAAATGTAGCTTCCTGGGAGGCCACGGGGACCCCACAGAATCACTGGGGAGTTTGGAAAGGGGCAGAGGGTGGGCAGCTTTGGCAGCCGGCCCCCGGTAGAGGAGGAAGGCTCTGCACCGGGACTCCCCAGGCCGCCTTTGATCTCCAGGGCTGAGGGTCAGCCTCCTGCCTTCGCTGTCCCACCGAGAATGCACACAGCGAAGGGAGGTGCCCCCCAGGGAACGTGGGGCGCTCCCAGGAAATGGTGTTGGGCCGACGCAACCAGCAACCCAGGCCGGGAGTCAGCAGTAAAGCTCCAACCTCGAGTGTGCCGCGAGCCAGCCCCGTGACCCTGACAACATCCCTTAGGCTTTTGGGGGCCCGGACACCAGTGGCTCCGAGAGACCAGGGTCCCCAAAGCCCCGCGTCCCGGTCCCACCACAGTCACTCAACCACCGCGAGGCGGGCCGGCCGGGTGGGGCCGCTGCGGTAATAGACGGTCCTGCGCCCCGGTCTATGGATCCACGTGTGAGCCTCGGGCTCTGTGCCGGGCCGGCGACCCGTCGGCGCGCGCGGGAAATTTTAATTGCTCATATTGATCGTGTCTGTTATTTGACCGGCGTGGAGACCAACTGGGAGTCATTTTCAAAGCCTGCATTTATATTTTGCAAGTATTTCCAGTGCTGGAGCGAGACAGGAGTCTCCGGTGCCGGGAGTGACCCACCCGGCGGTTCGGGCGCGGGTGGAATCCCGCCCCCAGCGCGTCCCACGGGCGACCTCCCCCGCAGTTCACCCCCGGGCCTGGCGCCTGCCTGGGGCGGCCCCTGTCCGCCCTGGGCCTGACGGGGTGACCGGGCTTGTGGGGCCGCTGGCTGAGCTTTCCGGATCTCTGTCCATCTAAACACCCACCCGCCCACCTAAAGAAATGCCTGCTGGCTGCTGGCCCCAGGTAGGGCTGTGGTCACGGGGTACACAGCAGGGGACAGGTGGCCGGCTGCGGGGGGGCTCAGGTGCAGGGCAAGGAGAGGCCGCGACCAGCCGCGGCCGCCCCTGGGGGCGCCGATGAGCCCGCTTCCCGCTGGCTCGGGGTCTGGTCTCAGGCGCCAGGTGGGCACCCCACTGGCGGGAGGGGCCCCGCAGGCGGCAGAAACTGGGAGACCGGACAGTTGCGAGAGAAACAAGCAGCTTGTTGGCTGTATTCACAGGGAGGCGACGCCCGGTGGAGACCTCGCGGGTCAAGCCTCTCAGGCCCCTTCCTCCCCCAGGTCCCGGCGCCCGGGTGGCGGGACAGGCGTCCTGTGTGTCCCTGGGAGACACGCGGGGACGTTCCCTGTCCCGTAAGCCGCAGACTTGTTCCCGATTCTCATGAGAACACAGCTCCCTCCGTCTGTGTCTGTTTCCCCAACTCTGGCGGAGAGACATGTCCGGGAGAATTGTACCCCTGTTTGGAGAAAAGGGGAGTTTCCGCCCTGGGTCAGGGGGCCGGTCTGGGCCGGGAGGGGCCGTGGCTGGGTGGGGAACCCCCATCCGCCTGGAGGCGAGGGCGGCAAACCCACCGAGCCCGGTTGGAAACAACAGGGGCTGAGCCCCACTTTGCCAGAGGGTCTGAACTTTCAAGAGAGGAAAGACACCCGGATTGATTTTTATTTTTATTTTTTTAGGTAAAATGGGCGACGTGCTACGTGTTGACTCAGCCTTTGTTCTGTGACCTGCTTTGTCGTCAGGAAACTGACAGTGACCTAGAAACTGTCTTTGGTGTTGTCCCCCCCCCCCACTAGCTGCACGGTGTTGACAGTGGGGGGCGTGGTGCTCCCAGTACCTGCCACACCTCCCGCACGTAGTAGGTGCTCAGTAAGCACCACTTGGCGCACTCGACACCATCCACAGCTGGATGTGGACTTCATGCCTCTGCCTTGTTCTGGGGCAAGGTCTTGGGGATGCGCCACCACGGGAACCTGAAGATCAACCTTTTAACCCAGCCCAGGGTCACCGTGGCCTCGAACACGCCACAGGAAGTTGACATCTGACCGTGGGTGAGATCCTGAAAAAGGACCAGGCCATTCCCCTCTCCGAGGCCCAGAGGGGGCTGGGGACACACCTGCCACGGCTCCCCTGGGCCTGCCACGGCTGTCCCAGCCATGGCTCTCCCCACCACAGCTGTCCCCGCCACGGCTGTCCCCACCGCCATCCATCAGCAGGCTCTTAGTGAGCGTGTGTGATTTATCTGCAAGCCCTTCAGGTCCTGAAGGAAAGATACTCGGAGCACAATGCAGTCTGTCATCCTTGTCTCGCTGCAGAGCGCGGGACACTGTGCGGGAGTGTAATTGTATTGTGCCGGGACCCTTAAATCCGGGTTTCCAGCCACCAAAGCCACAGTGCGGGGACCGCCATCTGTCACTGACGCCAGCCCCTCAGAGGGGTCAGCCGGACGCCAAGGGCAGGCTCTGTGTTCACAGTCGGCGGGTTTATAAATACATGTCACACCCTACGACCTACAGGACATTCTGCTCCCAGATGGACGGGGGTGGGGCAGGAAATGGAACAGCACGTGGGCGAGAACGTCGGAGCTGGGGGACGACATTCAGTCACCCAGGTGGACGAGGGACGTCAGCTTGGGGACAGGAGCTAGCGGCTTCTGGCGGCTGCACTGCAGTGTCCGAGCCGGGGGACGAGCGCTGGGTGTCAGAGTGTAAACTGAGGGGTCGACAGCGTCCTCTGAGAAGAATTCAGCCACCGCAGAGAGCGAGACAAAGGTGGGGTGGAGCAGGAGGGAGACACTCAGAGAGACACAGAGACACAGAGCCAGAGCCAGGGAGGGCCTGGGAGAGGGACCGGAGGGCAGAGACAGAAAGCCACCCGGGAAGCGGAGGGAGAGGGCGCCGGCCTGGGGCATGGCCCTGAGCTGCCCCCGGAGCCCTCGGGTTCTGCTGGGCAAGGGCCCTGCTCCCTGCCCTGGGCCCGAGCGCCAGTCGGGGCTGAGAGTCCCCTCAGCTCTCCCTCCAACTCCCTGTTTATAGGCTTCACCTCCGAGGGGTGTCAGGGGTGTTCAGGGCCACGCTGACCTCAGGCCACCCCAGCCTCGCAGGACTGACCAGACTGTGTGCTCTCGGACCTGTCCCGCGAGCGGGCGCCGGTCCCGCCCGTCTCCGAGGTCGTGGGCGCTACATTCCTCCGAGTGCCCCTGGGAACAGGCTTCCCGCCCGACGACCTCACACACCCAGAGTCCCAACGCTCCTCCCCCTGCACAGGCCACACGGACACCCACGTGTCTCAACAACAGCCACGGGCAGGAGGCCCGATGTCACTGTGCAGGCATCACAAACGCCCCCTCCTTTCCCGAGAAGCGGGGACAAGCGGGGTGGATCCTGGTGATCACTGTCTACCCTTGAGACCAGCCTCTCCAAGGACAGCGTGTGAGGTCACCTGGGGGGCCTCTCGGTGACCCCCACCTGGGAGCCGACACAGAGACCCAGGCAAGACTCCCGAATGCTGGGAACTGCCCGCTGCCCCCAGTGACCCCCGACCTCTGGAGAGGCGTGGCCTCTGGGGAGACACTGGGCAGTGGCTAAAACCCAAGCCAGACCTTTGACCCTGATTGAAAGTCTAGGCCTGAGTCCCCGGGTGATGGGGAGAGGCTCTGGCTCTCTCGGAGGCTCCTGTCTGTCCGTCTCCCTTGGGTGTCCGGTTACAAAGGTACGAGGCCCACTTGCCCTGGAGGAGACGGCTGAGTCTGAGGTGTCGCCGGCTCTGGCCCAGTCTCCGGGAGGTAATTACGGGCAACCAGGCCTCCCAGAGCTGGCGAGGCCCCCCCTTGACTCTGACCCTGCTCACGGCGAGACGTGCCGCTCCGGGTCCTGCGACTCATGCCCCCGGCGACCTGCTTCTGCTTGACCCAAGGTCAGAGGTCAGGGTTCCTCCCTCGCCTGTGACGCTGAAGTGGAGCCGCATGGATGTCACTCCTCCAGCCCTGCTGATTAAGGAGAGGGAGGGGCCGCTCTTTCCCCGAAGCTCTCAGACGCTCAGATTCAGGGCCCATTTTTCCTCCACGCGTGATGAATGCCTGGCCGTGGACACCGGACATCGGAGTGCACGTGTCCACGCCGCGTTGGGCCGTGGGCTGAGCCAGGGTTGTCTCCTGGGGCTCTGCTGAGAACATCACCTGTGTCTTGTCCTGTCATTTTACTCCTCCCCCAGGGCCACCGGTCCCCAAATTAAAGGCGAAAGGTGAGTGAGAACCACTGTCCACGCACGTGTGGCCTACGCGTCTCCACAGAGCCTGTCCACGTAGCCGTGTGGGTCCCAGCGCTCACCCGGGGCCAGGCCAGGGCAGACCCAGCCCACGTCTCCCTCACCACCCCTCACCGGGGCATGCGCCTCAGGGCCCCTGTCCTCCGGGGAGAGGGTGCTGAAGGTGGTGAATGTCACCCTTCTCCTCCTGGAGGTGGGGGACGTGGGCGGCTCGCTCTTTGGATCGTCCCCGTCGCCGACCGTGGGTCCTGGAGACGCGAACAGCTGCCCGTTGACGCTGCTCTGGGAGTTGGTGCTGAGCAGGTACTTTCCCTCCTCCAGGTCCAGGCCCCCGTCCAAGGCCGTGACCCGCTCGTCCTGCGAGGCCACGAAGGGGACGTGGTTCTCCAGCAGCTCCGCCCGGTGGCCCAGCCCCACCCAGTCGTGGGAGTGGCTCAGCCCTTCCTGCTCCGCGAAGGGCACCTGCTTGCGCCGGTACCTCAAGGCAAAGGTGACGCAGTTGAGGAGGAAGACCAGGATGGCCAGGCAGAAGACCCCCAGCAGGGCGTACATGCCAATCTCCAGGTCGCTCAGCCCCCTGGGGGCCTGCGTGGGGTCGCTCTGGTCCACGTCGCCCCCACGCCCCGGGAGCTCCGCCTGGGCCGGGAGGCTGGGGAGGCCGGTGGGGACGGTCTGCAGGCTGCCGACACCCACCGGGAGGCTCTCCCGGCCCCGGTTCTTCCTGAAGGCCGACCTCTCTGTCGTGGCCACGCTCCCTCCCACGGTGGCCACGGAGGCGCTACTGAGCACGTGGCCCCCCGGACCGCCCCACTCCTGCGAGGGCCTGTGGGGTGTCCTGTCACCGCCGTGACTCTCCAGGTGAGCACCGGCCCCCGCGTGCCGGCTGTCGCTGGTGTTGGGGTGGGCGTCGCCCTGGCCGAAGCTCACCCTGAGGGTGGCGGTCCCCACGGCCAGCACGCTCTTGCGCTTGGACTTCTGGCAGGACTCGCTGATGACCATTTCTACCCTCACCAGGGCGCCCTGCCCTTCGGACTCCGCGGCGATGACCGGCCACTTGGAGTCCGGGTCCTGGTGGACGGAGACCACCCTCTCGTCCAGGGAGGTGGCCACCAGGGAGAAGTCTCCGGTGGCGTAGATGTCCAGGGGCGTGACGGAGCCGTCGCTGAACTGCACCCAGCAGCTGAGGGCTGCTTCCTGTGGGGAAAGCGAGTCCGTGAACCTGTGCCCCGCACGCAGTGAGCGCCACGTCTCAGTCACAGGCACGTGGACAAGTCACAGGACAACTAAGGAGAAGCTTTCAGCCACGTGGCAATAAGAGGCGAGCAGAGCTAAGGGTATGGAGAGAATGAATCCTCACAATGATGTGGAACCGAAGGAAACAATGGCAATGTTGAAATGACAATGACGGCAGGGACCCCGCGCCGTCCAGCCTCTGTACCTGTCGCGGCCTCTGCAGAAGCTCCTGAGCCACGGCCGTGGCGAAAATGGCCCTGTTGCTCCCGGGGCTGAGCTGCAGGGACAGCAGCAGCCCGGCCACCACCTGCACCCCCAGGTCCGTGACGGTCACCTTCTCGTCCAGCACCGTGACGGTCTTTTCAGCCAGGATGGCGTCCGACAGGGGTGACAGGATCTGGAAGCAGAAGCGACATGGCAGAGGACACCTTCCGCGGCCCCAGCGGTCCCTCGGACAGCGCGGAGGACGCCCCGCGGGGAACAGCTGGGACAGACGGGCGCGCGTGTCTCGCTCGCGCCTCCTTCCGAAACGCGCACCTGCTGTGAGAGCGCCTGCGGCTTTCAGGAAACGGTGGGGAGGTGAAGGGGTGGACGGGGGCCCGGCCCCTCCCCGCCCCGGCCCGAGCGGAGGGAGGATCGTTCACCCGTCCGAGCGCGGACTTTACGGCTCTCCCGCAGCGTGGCTCGTCTCCGCGAGTATTAGCGAGGTTTTGTTTAAAATTATTTTACATAAGTGTGTTGTCAAAGTCTTCCCAGCATCAGAGAGCAATGGGTTCAACGTGCTGGTTCGAGGCCGATGCATCTCTCACACCTGCCAGCCAGCTGTGGGTGCCACGGAGCCCCCAGTGTGCCACGGGAGCCCACGTGGGAGCCCACACACCACATTCTGGGGCGCACTGAGCAGCAACGCTCGAGCTGAGTCCTTGTGAGTCCCCCCAGGGTGACACCCTGATCTCCTTTCTGCCCTGGTCAGCCTGACCACCTGGAGGTGGCGCTCGCTCAGGGGGCGTGCTCAGCTCGGCTTCGGGCTCTGGCATCAACACCAGGGCAGCTATGAGTCGATGGCAGGAATTTGGGCCTTTCCACGGGTTAGTCGGCTGCGGAGGCTGGCCCTCGTCTACGGGCCAGGTATGTTTTGTTGGACATAAACAGTCCTTTAGGAATCCAGGGGATTCGTGGCCGTCCTTTAGAAGAGAGGAGCGTCCTTGCCTTTGGGGACGTCTTACCTGGATGGTGGTCATCCCGAGCTCCTGGCCCACCAGGACCTGTCCCCCTCGCAGCTGGGCGATCCGGGGCTCCTCCACCTGCATGAAGTCCTTCACCAGCTCCGTGATGTCCACCTGCCAGTCAGAGCCCAGCAGGTGGGCCAGGTGGCCCCCAGGGTCAGCCGATTCGGCCACAAACTGAGTCAAGACGCGCACCATGGCGTGCTGGTACTGGAGGGCGCAGCCCCGGCCCCGCCTCTCACCGTCTTCGTCTTCCTCGCTGTCCCCAGCGGGCCTGGCAAAGGGTCAGCTCAGGTTAGTGGACACTGAGGTGCTGTGAGCAGCCCCACGGAGAGGCCCAGGTGCCTAGACCCTGGGCGTGGCCACAGCCAGTGAGCAACTGGGGCCCTCAGGTCACCCGTGTGGGGGGGAGACCTGCCAAGGACCACGAGGTCCTTCCCCACGAGCCTCGGGCCACAGGGCAGCTCCAGTCAACAGGTCTCCTCGGCTGCGCGATCAGGTCGAGGCCATGCACACACAGTAGGTAGACTTAACCCCGGGACGTCTGTGGGAATTACTGGGAAAGAGGAGAGGTACTTTCTGTGGAGCTGAGAGGCCAGGACAAAGGTCTGGATCCTCAGAAGAGGAGCCTGAGGGATGCAGCCGCCACGAAGCCGCCACGAAGCCGCCACGAAGCCGCCCAAAGCCGGGAGCGGGAGGCCCCGCCCGCGGCGGATGCCGAGCCTCCGGAGGCAGCCACGCCTCACGTTGCCAACCCCGCCGGTGCCCCTCAGCCCACGCACACTGACTTGCGGTCCTGATGGGGTCCCGACGGGCACACCCACCTGTTGTTGGGGGTGATGGGCACCCGCCAGCCCTTGACCTGGTTGAGCTCGGCGTCCGAGACCTCGATGTGCAGTGGGAGCCGGGGGGCCCACACGGTCATCTCCAGGGGGGCGCTCAGGTGCTGGTAGGTGAAGCTCACCACCGCGTCCACCTGGCCCTTCATCTCCTTCCCATTGACGAAGACGTAGTCGCACCTGTCGGACACCTGTGGGGAGACAGGCAGGAGGCCCGGAACTCCCACCGTGGCCCACGGCCCACGGCCAGCCAGGGAAAGCGTTTCTGTGGCCCAGGTCCTGAGGTCTTTCCTGCCATGGGGCATGGCTGGGCCCAGCTCCAGGGAAGACAGACCAGCCCCCCAAGATCGGCCAGGCCCCCAGTGCATCCTGGGCGGGAAGGACGGTTGAGATGAGCCAGCGGGCGGGACGTCCCCTCCAGGCCCGGACACCACCGTCTCCTCCACCCCCGGTCACTGTGCTCATTCGAGGGTTAGACCTTCCAACCCCCCGGAGATGAACCGGGAACTGCACGGTGTCGGGGGCCGAGGAGACCTGCTCCTTCCCTCTGGTTAAAACACGACCAAGTGAACACGTGGAGATGATTTATTAACTCCCACTTCACAGTGCCGAGGGCGGAAGGAGCCATTCGTCACAACCCCCGGGCCCCTCGGTCGGACCCGTGACGGGGCCACGGCTGGTGTTTCCGACCCTGACGCTCACGGCCGGGTACTTATGTGGATTTAATGCCATTTCCTTTTTTCTGCGTAAAAGCCACACGCGTGTAAATCTTATTTAAATATCACCAACACTCGAGGGGAAATTTATGTTCTCATGTTTTCCTCTCTCCTTTTTAAGAGCTAGAGCTGAGGATATTACAACCCGGCCCCTCCCCTGCGTAACTGTGGCCTAAAGGATTATTTATTTGCATCCATTTCTCAATCCAGGTGTCGCCTCTTTGAAATTAGTTTTTATCCCGGACTAAATAATAAATAACGTTAACAACATTGGCGACAGGGGAAGGCGTGGCTACAACGGATCATGCGCTGTGCCCACGGCCCTGCTCAGCACCTCGCGCCCCAGCCCAGAGTCCCCCCGGGAGTCGGGTGGGGAGGCCCCGCGACCCCATTTTCCAGATGACAAACTGAGACACGGTGTCCCTTCCCCACCAGGGACGTGTCACGTGGGCTAATGAATGGGAGGTGACTTTACCTACCTCCGTGGTGCCTGTTAAGAGCCGTGGTGGGGCCTGAGGCCCGTGTGCTCACAGATGGTCCACCAGGAGGTCAGAGTCCAGACCCCTCGGTCTCCCGCAGCCCCGGCTGCTCTTGCCACCCCCTCCCCCGCCTTTTAGCCACTGTTCCGACTCCTCTGCCGCCCAGGACCCCACGGAGAAGCCACCGTGTGGCCTGTTCCCTCTCGGGGGTGTGGAGGCCGCCACGCTCACGGGGCTTTCACCAAGAAGCGCTTCGTGTGTGAACATCCGACACCGGGCTTCTCTCTCCTGCTGCCGGCCGTGGGGCCATCTCCAGCTCGTGGGGATCACAAGCGACGCCGCTCTGGGCATCTCGGGACAGGACTCGATGCCACGAGCCCTCGCGGGTCCCAGGCAGAGCCGCTGGATCTTTAAATAGACACGTTTCGCCCCTGCACCCCGAAGGGCTCGGCCCCTCCCTCTGGGACACACTCAGCTTCCCTCAGAGGGGAATTCTCCACAAGCTGTTAGTGTAATTACGTGTCCCCGTCTCGCGGCAGAGTGACAGTGGCAGCACACGGGCCTACGAGGGAGACAGGAGGGACGCGGGGCGTCTGCCTCTGGGATGAAGCCGCCCCGACGTGGTTTATTAATGATGTTTCGCGCCTTCCTAGCCGCTCCCACTGAGCGGTGATGACCCACCAGACACCGTGGGACATGCTCCGAGACGGGGCGCCTCCGGGGGATCACGCACGGTGACACCTGAGGAATCTACACCCACCGCCACCCCCGGCGCCATGTCCTAAGGGCGGCCGGCGTGAGCAGGGGTCTCGGAGGACGCGGCCAGGGGAGTCGTCCCCACAGTCCCCAACCCGGCCACGCGTGCTCCTGACTGACCCTCAGGCACAAATACAGCGGCCTTCTGTTTACGGTACGGTCCTTTCTAAACTATCTGGTAAATTTTCCAGTTTAATTTGGGGGCCTCACACCCAGATGGCTGCAGAGGGCAAATCTACATAAACAGGTGGGTCAGGTGTGAACCAGGAAGCCCCCCCCCGGGCAGAAGGGCAGCTGTGGGGCCACCGCGCCTGAAAAACGGGGTCAGCGAGCCAGGCACCCGCCGTGCGTGAGCAGCCGCAAATCCTATTTTAACGCACCTTTAAAAAATATATATTTGCATTGATTTCAGAGAGAGAGGAAGGGAGAGGGGGGGAGAGAGAAACATCCGTGATGAGAGTCACTGATCGGCTGCCCCCGACTGGGGATCGAGCCTGAAACCCCGGCACGTGCCCCGACCGGGAATCGAACCCCAATCGCCTGGATCCCAGGTCGATGCTCAGCCGCCGGCCGGGCTGAACATAAATTTTAATGTATCAATCCCAGAATTTTAAATCTTGGCCCCTATCGAACCACATTAAGGCCACACACCACCCAAGGTCCTTGAACTTGCAACCTCGGACTTAGAACAACGGCTGACTTCATGGTATTTTTTTAAATTTTGGGAACAGAGAAGAAAGAAAATGCAAGAAAGTGCTGGGACTTTTTTTTTTTAAAATCTCTCAACTGGCAATAAAAACAAACAGCGAAAACAACTGGACAGACAGGGTCTCCTCCCACTGCCATCGTCCCTCGCCCGGAGGCCGCCCCTCCCCCAGCCGCCGCGGGTCCCTAACTGCAGCGCCCAGGCCGGCGACCCACCTCCCTGCTCCTCACAAAGGACTTTCCCCGCGACCCACCGCAGATGACATCCAGCCCGCGCCCAGGCTCTGCAGCGGAATTTTTTTTTTCTCCCCGATATCGCGTGAGCCCAGCCGTGGGCCTTCAGAAGCACCCGCCCCCGGCAGGTCAGGAAAACCAAGCGGGGGGTGGGGGGGGCGGACTGAATTCCCCAAGACTTTCTCCTCCTACCGCTTTCTAAAACAGCCAGGCTCTTAGCGAAAGGTGAAAATAACAGCCATATTCACAGGGATAAAATGACAACTTCAGCGTTAACAGAAAACTGCAAAGTCACGACGGTTCTTGGAAAAACGCATTTTCTCTGTTGTTGAAAGTGCAGGCATTAGCTGGGGACATCGTCGGCTTTCTCTACGTACGGCTGGGACTGCGGTTTCCTAAGGGGGACACTCCCGCCACGGGGAAGGGGCTCACTAAGGACATTTGGCGCATTTCACTCTCACCCCCTGGCTTTCCCGGTGGCAGCTTTGCTGAGATGTAATCCACGTACGGTAACGAAACCCTTCGAAAGCGCGCAATGAAGGGGTTTTTAATGTGTTTACAGAGTTTTAATGTGATTTTCATCACCCCAGAGCGAAACCCCGCACCAGCCAGCGGCCGCTCGGCCCCCGGCCCCCAGCCCCTGGCGACCTCTGACCGGCTCCTGTCCGTGGATTTGCGACTCACACACGTGGACTCACAGCCGGCGGCCTCCTGTGTCTGGCTCCTTCGCGCGGCGTGTTCCCGAGGCCCGCCCGTGCCCTAACGCCCGTGAACTAACTCGGGGTCCTCTAACCTGGGCACCACGGACGCCTGGGCTGGGCGACTCCTCAGTGGCACCCTCCTGCTCGGTGCTGTGATTTGCACTCGTGCCAGTGCTCGGTCCCAGCACCTTCCCCTCCCGCGTCTCCGTTTCCTCCCGGCCCCCCGGCTCAGTATTGTCATTTGCGGAGCGAGGTTAGGAGGCTGTCGCTTCACATTTATGGATCGAGACATAAACGCGACGATTCCTTTACTCCTACGAAAGTGCGCAGGGCCTCATGTGCTGACTGAGTTTCTAAGAAGGACGCTTGCTCCTACTTAACGGACGGTCCCCGCCCCGCCAACGGCCCTGGGTTTTAACACCCGGCACGTGCCGAGGCCGTGTCCGCATCGCTCGGGTTCTGGGCTAAGTTTAAGTTGTGGCTCCATTTCCATCACGGCCGGTATGACAAAGCTGGGTCACTGGGCCGTGACACCCCTCTGGGCCATGGAATCTCCCCAGGGAGCAGCCACACACCGGTCAGTGTAGTCCTGGCTCCCCACC